GTTGCATCTCAGAGTCCCGCCACCCACTGGGCCCTCTCAATGTGTCGGTTTTGGTGTCTCCTCTCGGGTGGGTGTGGGTTTTGGTGTCTCCTTTTGGGGTGTGGGTTTTGGTGTCTCCTCTCGGGTGGGTGTGGGGTTGGTGTCTCCTCTCGGGTGGGTGTGGGTTTGGTGTCTCCTCTCGGGTGGGTGTGGGTTTGGTGTCTCCTCGGGTGGGTGTGGGTTTGGTGTCTCCTCTCGGGTGGGTGTGGGTTTGGTGTCTCCTCGGGTGGGTGTGGGTTTGGTGTCTCCTCGGGTGGGTGTGGGTTTGGTGTCTCCTCTCGGGTGGGTGTGGGTTTGGTGTCTCCTCGGGTGGGTGTGGGTTTGGTGTCTCCTCTCGGGTGGATGTGAGTTTTGGTGTCTCCTCTCGGGTGGGTGTGGGTTTAGTGTCTCCTCAGGGTGTGGGTTTGCTGTCTTTTGCGAATGTCACGGTGTGAATGTCCCACTCCGTCTGAGAGGGAGATTTTCCAGCTCTCGTTTGCCCTGTTTTCTCCTGACCTTTGTCCTCCTTTCTGCGTCTTGGCTCCATCCTCTTGGCTTCCTGCCTCTAGTGGGTTCCTTACTGCATTTTCACTGCCTCCTCTCCTCGAACAGTTGGCAGTTTATTCATTTCAGAGATAATTTTGTCTCTTCCTTCCATTTCTTTCTTAAGTCCCGTCAACTGTTACTTCCTTTTGGTGTTGTATTTGTAATTGTATTGTTTTTATAAAAATGTGCCTCCTAGTTTTTGAGATTCTGATTTGAGGTGATTTTTATATCCTTAAGTGCACACTTCAGATTTTCCTGTATTGAGAGAGTTGTTAGTTTCCTTGTTGTTCCAGGGTGGGTTTCTGATGTGTGTGGAGCCCCCATTTTCTGACTCTCTGACTTTCCCATGCCGCTGGGTGGCTTTGCCGCCTCTGTCCCTTCCTCCTGGTGGCCTTGGGGTGTTTGCCAGGTCTGTGGTTTCCTCGCGCCCTCTGCTGGCCGCATGGGGAAGTCCGGGTCTCCAACGTCCTCCGGTCCTCCCAGCCCTTTCCTGCAGGACCCGAACTTCCCCTTTTCCTTCTTTTCTGCCTCAACACCCAGCGGCCAGAGGGCTCCTCTCACGACACGCCGTGTTGCCTTGACAACCCCTTCCCGTCTTGTGCTCCGTGGTCCCTGCCCTATGGTCCGTGCTGACCTTCCTGGACACCTCTCAGGCGCTCGGACTTGGGGTGCCTTAGCCTTTCAGCAGTGACTTCCCACGGACCCCGTCCCGCCCCGCCCCACCCCGCCCCACCGCGGCCTTGCAGGGGAGGCACTAGCGGGATCAGGCTCGGGCCTGTATTGACTGTGCGCCGACGTGCAGTGACTGTGAAGTCTAGGCGCCCTCGTCCTGTGCAGACGGTGATGCTAGTGTAGACCTGTGTTCCTTGCCTGTGCTGAACTGTGTGTGGAAGAGAGGCTGGGAGACGTCAGCTCGGCAACCATGCTGTCTTCAGCCTCCCGGAAGTGATGCTAACTTTCTAAGTTGTGTGTCCGAGTGTTTTTGTTACTACTGCTGTTCTTCGAAATGTGCTGCCAGTGACCTTGCCTCGTGTGTGTGACACCACGTAAATGGTTAGGCACGGAGAGGGCTTGCACGCGTTCGGGGCGGAGCTGGCTGGAGCGTGTGCGGCACGGGCCATTGTTACCCGCTGCCCGGGCGGCTGTGGGCACAGCGTTCTCCACCCATTGCTCTGCTGGGGCTCTGTGGCGGAGTAAAGGACGGGCCAAGGGGTTCCCACCTCAGGAGCAGACGCTCTGCTCCCAGTGCTGATGGCACGGGGCCTGACGTTCGGGCGGCACAGACCCTGCACCAGGCGGTTCCACGGATGGCGACTCTTTGCATTTGGCTTTGACATTGAGTCCCTGTGGCGCCTGTGCAGTGGAGAGATCGCCTACTTTCATTTGATGCCTTTAAGAGCCCTGTGACGGGGCAGGGCTGTTTCAGAGGCGGAGACCTGCAAAGGGGGGAGGGTTCGTGTGGTATGTCCAGGGTCGTGGGGATTTTAGTTTGCTTGCTCGTTTTCTAATCCCAGTGCCTGCACCTAAAAAACCCCAAGCCCCTGTGTTTGCAGTTGTTTACGCCGAGGCCCCCAGGGCTCCACGTCGGCGCTGGCCTTGGTGGACCTTGTCGTCCCAGGCCCTGCTTTGCGCCATCACACCTGCATGTGCCACAGTCCCTCTAGAGTGGCCATGGGTGCCTTGGCCCTGGTCCCCGCAGGCACTTCGTCCTCAGGTGTCCCATGGGAGCTGGGAGCCCCCACTAAGCACTTTCCTCCCAGCAGGCTCCGTGACCAGTCCCTGACTGCCACCCCCCACCGGGCTGCTGCGCCCACCACGGGCACAGCCCATGAGGGGTTTGGATGAACCTAGGAAGGAAAGCCGCTGCCACTGCCGTGTGGACTGGGCACAGAAGGCCTTGGTCCAGTGGCAGCCCCAGTCCTGAGAAGAGAGGGGGAGGTTCCCACGAGATCTCCACTCCATCTTCAGAGCAGTTTAGCAGCAGACCCTCTGCGGTAGCCAGAATCCACATAGAATTCTGCGAGCAAAGACCCTATGGGAAAGACAGAGAGTGTGGACCCCCCCCGTCCGGGGCGAGGTGGACTGGGGAGAAGGCGGCAGTGTGCAGTGTAGAGAGAGGCAACTGGAGTATCAGGTTAATTTGCGTTTTTCTTTTCTTTTCTTTTTTTAGATTTAAGAAAAATTTAGTTGTATTTACAAAACTCGGAATCTGGAGAAGTTATGTTTTTCATTCATAGTGCACTTTCAGAGCTTGGTGCAGAAGCAGGGCCTGCCATCAGTTTCTCAGTGTGCTGGGACCTGGGAGTGGCCTCAGCCCCAAGGAGGCACCGTCTCGCCCCCTCCCTTGGTTGGTCTCACCCCTTCCCTTGATTGGTGCTGACACTTGGCATTAGAATATCTTGATTTCAGACCCTCAGCAGCCCTTAAATTACGCACCTGGGATGAGCGTCTCCCCTTCACCCCAGTCCTCTTTTTTGGCAGCTGAACTATTTTGAAGGTAGAAGCATCAAACACAGTCTGGAATTTATAGAAGGTGTCACTGGGTCGCACAGCCTGTTAGGGTGGTGCGTGTGAGAGCCCCGCCCTCACCCTGCAGACTGTCACTCGGCCCGCCTGAGTTCTCTTTTGGGAGGCCCGGCCTCAGGTGAGGATCAGTTTGTAATGAGCTAGTGTGGAGCGCGCGGAGGCTTCAGCAGCAGAGGCACCCGGGGCAGGTCTGAAGAAGGGCCCTCAGTGCAGGGCGTCTGAAGGGAGACAGGTGCCCTCTTCTGTTTGAATCTCATAGGAAGAAAGAAAATGTAGTGGGTCGGAGTCACACTTGCGTGCCATCACACAAGGCAGCCATGCTCCCAGCCTGAACTGAAAGTGGCAGAGCGGGGACGGGAGGAAGGATGGGAGGAGGGCGTCACACCAGGGCAGCCCGGGCGCTGCCTGTGGCTGTTCACGGCAGGGCTCCCAGTGGCATGCAGAGCAGAATCAGCTGCTTCCAGCGTCTTAACTTTGGTTGAGAATGTGCTGTAAAGATGCCATTGTAATCTTTGTACTTAAATATACGTGAGCAGCTTTCCCCATCAGAGCAGACCTTAGTTTTCATGCCAGATGGGGAAACCACGGCCGTTGGGAGTTGTGTGGCTCGTGCCCCCCTGGGCGGTGCCGCGTGTGTGTGTGTGTGTGTGGCGCATGCCCCGCTGGGCGGTGTCGTGTGTGTGTGTGTGTGGCTTGTGCCCCCCTGGGCGGTGCCGTGTTTGTGTGTGTGTGTGTGTGGCTCGTGCCCCCCTGGGCGGTGTCGTGTGTGTGTGTGTGGCGCGTGCCCCGCTGGGCGGTGTCGTGTGTGTGTGTGTGGCGCGTGCCCCGCTGGGCGGTGTCGTGTGTGTGTGTGTGTGTGGCTCGTGCCCCGCTGGGCGGTGTCGTGTGTGTGTGTGTGGCGCGTGCCCCGCTGGGCGGTGTCGTGTGTGTGTGTGGCGCGTGCCCCGCTGGGCGGTGTCGTGTGTGTGTGTGGCGCGTGCCCCGCTGGGCGGTGTCGTGTGTGTGTGTGGTGTGTGCCTCGCTGGGCGGTGTCGTGTGTGTGTGTGTGTGGCGCGTGCCCCGCTGGGCGGTGTCTGTGTGTGTGTGTGGCGCGTGCCCCGCTGGGCGGTGTCATGTGTGTGGCGTGTGCCCCGCTGGGCGGTGTTGTGTGTGTGTGTGTGTGTGTGGCGCGTGCCCCGCTGGGCGGTGTCGTGTGTGTGTGGCGTGTGCCCCACTAGGCGGTGTCGTGCAGGTGTCATCAGCTGAAACCACCAGGGCTCTCCACAAGAGCTGGCACCCAGCAGCTATGCTTCTCCAAGCAGGAACACATCTGAGGCAGCTCGGGAGGCACCTGGTCACCTAGAGGGGCTGACGGAGGCAGGGTCTGTGCAGCAGGGCCCAGCCAGAGGCCCAGGGATCACTGTGGGAACCACTGAGCAACCCAGCCTTCGCAGCTGACCTAGCATGCCCAGTCCCAGCCGACCCCAGCCCTCCCAGTGCGGGAAGTCAGCAGCCAAGCAGGATGACACACAGGGACCCAGTGTGGCTTTTGTACCCCAGCTGAGTCCACACGCAGTCCAGCTGTGGTTGCATGGAGGGTGGCCCTGGGGCCGCTCAGACATTTGCCTTGGGTAGGTGCCACCCCCTGGTCCATCCTCAGCCCCAGGAGCAGATCTGAGCATTGTGGGGCATTGGGCAGTGTCTGAGTGTGCCCTGTCCTGAAGGCGCAGCATGGGGCCTCCTGCCCTTGCCCCTGCCCTGGCAGGGCCCTGGGACAGCACCTCAGCTCCAGCTGTGGGCCTACCGGAGGGAGCCCATGCCAGGCCTGGCCTCCTCTGGAATCCGGGTACTTGGTTCAGACACACAGGCCCCCATTTCAAGCCCCACTCTGGGCCCCACTAACACCCTGTCTTCTCCGTTTTTGTCACCAGGGGTCGGGCCCCGGCTCGGTGGTCCCAGGCAGCTCGGGGGTCGGAGCCCCCAGACAGTTCACGCGACAAAGAATCACGCGGGTCAACCTCAGGGACCTCATATTTTGTTTAGAAAATGAACGTGAGACAAGCCATTCACTGCTGCTCTACAAAGCATTCCTTAAGTGACACAGGAGGACGCCTGGGGACTTTTTATATATTTGCAGATTACGCCTTTTTGTAACAAGCAAATGGGATATTGTTTAAAAAACAGCCACCTCTTTACGATGGAACAGTTTTATATTTTCCTGTTTCTAAATCAACTCTTCAGTGTGAAAGAAAAGACGTTTCTGTAACAGAGAGAACACAAAGGCCTGTGGATACTCTTAAAGGACAATTAAATCTTAACTCATCTTGATTGAGTGGCCTTCTTGCCAAACAAGCCATATATAAAGACTGATGGAATCGTTAGCAAATAATTAGCTGCCCTCTGTCAACTCATAGCAGTTTCTGCATTATTTGTGCATTTTGGTTTAGTTCTACCTAACTTACTGTGTAGGTGTATGTCTACAGCCGATGACCTCATTTTATTTTATTTTTGTAATAGTCAGTTAGCAAAGCAAACTGATTTTTTAGGACTTATTTATCCTTCCTTCCTCCTCTCCCCCCCCCGTGCCATTCCTGAGCAGAGCCCCCCCCCTCTCCTCTGCTTCTTCTGATCACCCCCTCTCTGCCCTCGTGACCCATGCGCGTCCGCTCTCCTCCCACTAGCACACGCCCAGCAGCCTTAGCAACCTCTCTGTGTCACGCTCGTGGCCACGCCGCCCGCAAGCGGTATACAATGCCCCCCGTTCGCCCGCTACTTCCCACTGCTCCAGCGCGCCCGCTCTCCCCCTTCCGAACGCGTGCAAAAGCCCGTCTTTCCGTTG